CTGCAGGTTGTACTGTGTGTGTGGAGGAAGTCATCTCACTCTGCGTGCTCAGGGCTGTGAAGCGGCCTTCTAAGCTTCTGAACAAGTTGGGAATTTACATTACTATTCAGCTGGAAAAATTATAACATCAGTTAATGCCCCGAGGATAGCATAGACAAAGATGGTTTTGCTTTTTAACCTCTGAGTGTGTTTCTGCGAGTTTTATGAATAATAAGTGGGCAGGAAAAGTCCCAGGCAGCCTCTCTACTATAGTTGCATTTGCTGAAGAGCTGTAGGTAAGTCGGGGAGTGAAGATTAGAAATGCTCCTGTCCAGAGGAGGCATGGAGAGGCAGTTGCTTCTAATCCGTTTAATTTGTTCCAGAAAGGAAACATTAAGTCACCCCTCCCCCCCAGCGCATAAAGATGGAGACAGATTTGATAATCATCAGGAACTGTTCATCATTTGACTGAGGACATTTAGGTGTTTGTTTCTAAAGAAAAACAAAATTGATTCTTCTAGTCTATAGAATCTGAGGAAATCCACTCTGTAAGAGTCCCTCGTATAAAAGACTGGTGAAAGCGTTTTATATGGCAGGTCTTTTACAACATCACATCCCATCTTCTTTTCTGTTGGGGCCAGAGGCCAGCCTGAGCATCCCCAAGCAGAACACCAAAGGGAACCAAAAATGACCAGCAAGACCCACGATGTGGATCCACATCACTTTTTCTCTGTGCAGATGAAGGAAAATGGAATCCCATCTGACTTTCTAGGTTCAAATTCTACAACAGGAGCTTGTTTTGATGAGAACTTGTATGTGAGAATGATAATATAGGATGGTCATAGTGAGATCATAACAGCAGACAATCAAGAGGGACAGCATTCCTGCGGGGAGAAAGACGGAGGTCTGAAATGTAGGGTCTGTGCTCAGAGAGCTCTACAGTGAAAACCAAGCTGTACTCTTCTCCTCTTGAAGGAGAGTCCTACCTTCTTCAGTCCAATAATAACGGCCAGTATGCTATGACTGAATATCAAAAACACCTTAGCTTTAGTTAGGTCACAAAGTTAAAAACAAAACAAAACAAAAATTGTCACCAACCATTTAGATTTTCAACTTTGGTCTTCGTCTGTTATCATCTAGGAGACAGTATTAACAGTGACACCCCATTCCACCACCACCCCATGACAGAAAAGATAATTGTTCAGGAAGACCACTTTTTTTTTTTTTTAATTTGAGTAGCTAAATATGGAGTGTGTGTGTGTGTGTGTGTGTGTGTGTGTGTGTGTGTGTGTGTGTGTGTCTATTGGATTTGCATCTGTGGTTGTTTCTTCAGAGTACTGTCAAAGTTGAGACTAACTTCTTAGGCTGGGTTAGCTTGCACAGAGCTCTGATTGCCTGTAATTAGGGGAAGAACCTCAAGCTCAAAAGAGTAACAGACTACTTGAAATTGGCTAAAAATCAGAATAATCAAACTGGGAAAAATCAGATCTCAGCTTATCTTGATTTTTAAGTACAGAACAGTGGTTTCTTTCTGGGTTCAGCTGTGTTTCCTGTCGCCATCCTGTCCGGCGTCCCACCCCACCCCTATGGCCCAAGCATGCGCTCTGTTTCTCAGATTACAGTTAAAGCGTTGGTAGAGATGCAGAGGCAATAACAGCCAGATCCCCGAAGAAGGAGCCCCCACCCAAACCTAGAACAGATATGACTGAGAAAGAGCCAGTGTAGCCCGAGAACTAGGCCTGGGGGTCTCTCCTGTGAAGACTGAGGCATGCTCTCCAAGTCAGGGAGGAGAGAAACAGAACGGACCCACTAGGATGTTACCATTCAGCAGTTCTGGCCTAGTGATTTAGAAATGATAATCCAACCAGCTGGAAACAAGCTGCTGGCCATCTTTTAAAATTGTTAGGATTAAAATTTAAATTTATCTTATTTTTTTAAGGCAGAGGCTCACTTCACAGCCTTGGCTAGTCTAGAACTTCCTATGTAGACCAAGCTGGTCTCTGTTACAGAGACTAGTCTGCCTCTATTTCCCAAGTGCTAGGATAACAGATATGTATTACTTCACCCCGCAGGAAATTTAATATTCTCTTTCTCTCTCTCTCTCTCTCTCTCTCTCTCTCTCTCTCTCTCTCTCTCTCTCTCTCCTCTCTCTCTCCCTCCCTCCTTCCCTCTCCCTCTCCTTCTCCCTCTCTCTCCCTCTCCCTCTTTTTCCCCCTCCCCCTCCCTCCCTTGTTCCCTCCCTCCCTTCCTTCAAACTCATCTTGGATTGTCCTGTGTATTAAGACCGGAAAACAATGCGGTATTCATTCTTCCTGAAGTTGGATTTGAAGAAGTTTGAGAACATACTAGATACAAGATTACATTCATGATTCTTATCTTCATTTCTTTTTTCTCCTCTTCCCCACCTAACGCTTCTTGTAATATGGAGAATTGAAGTCCATACCTCATAATGTTAGGTGAGCACTCTACCATGGAGATACATCTTCATCTCACTTTCATGACTGTTAAAGTCAGCCTTGCTCACTATAACCAAGGAAAAAGACACAAAGGACTATGATTTATATGATATGATATCAATATATATCAATCAAATGTATTGATACTTTGCTAGGTGGAATGAAGAGAGACCCATTTTTCATTGTAGGAGAATGCCAGGTAGTTGAGATGGAAAATGAACAATGAAAAAAAAAATGCAAGGTATGAGAACTGTATTACTGAATGCATGTTTGCTATTAAGATGTCTTCATTGTTTGCCTAGCTAGTCAGGATTCTGAGTCTGCTCATTTGAGTGGGACCTGTGAGGACTAGGCTGTGGGATGTTACAATGTGTCTCAGCCATCAGAGCACTAAGGGCATTGGTAACAGGGAAAATATTAACATTTCCCAAGTCATGATGCAACATGGGCTCTGCTAATAACTGCTCTCTGTGGCTGCTCTCCCAACTTGAAGCTCTCCATGACCTAGCTGTGGAAATCCTGTTTGTCAGCCTCCCACCCTCTTCCCTCAGGAAGGAAAACTATCAAATTGCAAGACTCAGCTTGCGGAATGAATTTGCTTTGCATTTGTGGAACCAAAGGCAAGAGAGATTTTGGAGGCTATTGGCTTGTGGTTAGATTTGTGAAATGACTTCATGTTCCCTCCCAGTCTCCAAATAAGTTTAATGTGAGACTGTCAAAACTTGAAGGCTGATAGCTTGTCCAAGGCATCTATTCTCTTCATATGTTCCTGGAACACGTGAGACCATGAAGGCTGGTTGGCTAACTTCATCCAGTGTTCTACCTTGTCTGGGGCAGGTGGATAAGGGACTTGTTCTTTCTCAGCCAGCATCTGTCTTCTTCCTAGTGACTGCTAACATCCCCACTTAAGGCTCTTTCTGTTACTTGCTCTTCTTCCTGATACCAACAGCCAAGCTGTCTGTGCCACACAGTAAATATAATAGGTGTTGTTAATATCTTGTCATTTGTTTGTTTACTCCAGCATCACAAAATGATAAAAAAACAACTCCTCCTGTGTTTCAATGATCTCCCCTCTCTAGGACTTCACCTTACCCCCCTCCCTCCCGACCGTCCCAACAACTTCGCTTGTCAAGATAGATTAAAGATTACTCCACCACAGATTGCAACAGGAAGTGATTTTAATAGAGGTATTAAATTAGGCTAGATATTTAAAAGGTGACTTTTTGAATATAATAATTATTAGTAAGATTTTCTTAGAGTTAGAGCCAAATACAAAATCACAGGACTATAAATAGTTTTCTCTCTGGAAAGGAGAATGATTAAGCTTGGTCAGTAATACTTCCTATCAGCTTAAGTTGCCTGATGGTGTCTCTCGGACTCACAGATAAGGACATATTAGCTGCAGGTGGCCACTGTAGAGCAAGGGGGAGAATGCCATGCTTTGAGAAAAATCATAGATGTGTAGAATTGGTCTTTAAAGGAGTCTTCATGGAATCTGCAATATGACTTGCATTTCGGGGGCATGGCTAAGTTTCAAAGAATAAACTTCAGTATAAGGGTGGAGCGAGACAGAGTGGGAAAAGACAATATATACAACCTTCCCCCAAAGAACATTTTTTCTAACAAACAACAACAACAAACCCGAAACAAAAAACCCAAAACCAAACAGTCAGATCCAAGAAACCCCAAACCAGGGACAAGTCTCAGGTTCCTTTGTCCCTTTAACTGCTCCTTTCTTCTTCTCCTTTGTCCATCCTGGGCCTGCAGGGGCATCTCAGCACATGACAGAGTGTAATGGATGGGCAGAACGCTACCATCAGCGGCTGTCTTTCAGTTTCAGGGGAGTCAGTGTGACAATAAAGGGGTGAAGAGTGTCAACACCTGTCAGAACTTGGAGATGATTCATGTAATATAAACCTGAGGCCCTAGAAGCTGATGACCACACAGGAAATGCATTCTGCTAGGCTATTGCTTTCACAGAAATCCTTATTCATATACCTCCAGCTCACGCTTCTGAAATGCCTTGCAGAAGAAGTCATTGTTTATGCATACAAATGATGATTAAAGATGATTGTGAATCGTCTCTATTTTAGAAGATGCATTCACTCTGAACTACAAGTTGAATACAAAAGTTCCCTTTGCATGTGAGACAGGCAACCAACCATTAGCATTTGGAGCATCTTCAGGATGTCAACTTAGGCTCTGTGATTAAAAGTTGCTAATGCGTGCATTGAACAATGTGACTGAGAAATTGGAACTACTACAAGGTAGATTTGAGGTTTTCATTTTCCTTTTCTTACAAGGGACACGTAAGAAAAAAAAAATTGGAACATTTAAAAATAAACCAAAGGCTTCAGAAGAATATAATGCATTTTCCATTTATTATCTTAAAAGAGAAAATGAATGTGTGAGAAGCAGAAGCATTGAATGCTGTTTTTCAAAAGTCTACATGGTAACCAGAAAGGTACAAGCCTGACTTGAGGACAGGAACAGGCATCCATGATGGACTAGGGGAAGGATGGGTAAAACAGAACCTCAGTAACCCAGATATGTTCAAATCCACAGGTCCCAATGGCTGGCATCCTAGAGTACTTAATGAATTGGCCGAAGTCATCACAGAACCGCTAGATATCATTTTTGAGAGCCCGTGGAGGACTGATGAGGTGCTGAAGACTGAAAAGGGCATATTTAGAATCTTCTTTCACAAAGGGAACTGGATGGTGACTCTGGAAACACTCATCAGCTTAAATTTCTTGCTTGGAAAATTCTGGAATAATCAACTTAGTAAGCTGAATCACTTACTTGTAGCTAGGAATAAGGCAGCAACATACTGCCCATGAAAAGATACTGAACTTGGTTTTAAAAGGATACTCCATGCGGGAAGAAGTCTGATACATCTCTTGGAATTTCTCTCCTTTGCTCTTTGAATTTTTCATCATACTAGATGGGGTTGATTAAGGCTTGTGGGTAATTACTAAATTTGAGTATATTATACAAAAGTAGGTTTCTTACAATAGCTAATTAATTATACCACTTTCAAATTAGCCTCTATCTCAAGAACAGTAACTTTCATCTTATATATTAACATACATGTTATTTTACTTTGCATAGGGCTCTGTTTTCATTAAGCTATGATATTTCATTTAATTTTATATAAAGTAGTTTGGTGAAGGAACTCTTATTTTAGGTGCTTTATATAGTAATTTTATATATGAGTATAACCACAACACTGACAGATTAAGGAAGAAATTATTTTCTGACTTTTAAAATTGAATGTGGTGGAGGTGTGGCTGTCACTGTTAAGAGTACCACGTCCTGACATGACATTGAAGACATGTCAGCTGTTTTATTCTTCCTTGCCTGGAGACTTCTCCAGCCTCCCCCTTCCCAAGATGCCTTGTCTCCCGCTCTTTGGTAGGCTTCTGACACCAGTTTGGGGGCAGGGAAGTGGATGGTGGCAATAGGTAAGAGGACTGGTCCATGGACCTGGACTGGAGGAGGACAGAGGAAACTGAGTGGGAGTAAGAAAATTAGGATGACTCTAGAGATTTTTTTTTTCTTTCTCGTCATTATTTCCTTTGGGTGTTGGAGATGCCACAGTGATGATGGAGCCTGACTTAGAGGAGAGAGGGCTATGGGAGGTTTAACAGTGCTGCAGACTTCTGGGGCTGGCCAGTGTAGAGAGCCCTGCCAACTGTTCTGTATTGCAGAATCGTCCCTTCGCTACTCAGAAGGACATCAAAGATGCAAGCTTATGTCATTGTAATTATGGACAAGAACAGGAAACTTTTAGAGGCAAGAGACTGACAGTCACCTTGTCTCTGGGAATAGGCAGGCAGTTAGGAAGGGCAGGCAGGTCCAAAGGCCTTCATGGCACAATACTGTTTTTAAAATAATGAAGTTCAAACACTTGAGCTGCCTTCAGACATAAAATTTGGGCACCATGCAAAGCCTTTCTCCAGATTAAACACAAATGTAAGGAAATTAGCTTCTAAGAGTATGTGCGAGTTGGTCCTTCTGTGCTACATACAATCAAACACTCATCACCTTTTCATATAAGCTAGTCTTTAAAATACCTGTTAGACTTTTTTTTTTAATAAGAGGTATGGGTGTAGACTTTTTTTTTTTATAAGAGGTATGGGTGTCTGCATAGATTACTGATACGATTTATTGTGATAATGAATGGCTTCCTGGTTGAGACCTCATTTCCAGGTGCCACATCTGTGACAGATTTATTTCACAGATGTACATTTGCATGCATTTGTTGAGCTATGGCTAGCAAGGACCCATTTTCTGAAAAAATCTATTATTTACCCTAGAGGCAAAAAGAATCGAATCCGTTGCAACCAAAAAAGGGCTCTCATGTCTTTTCAAGTTTTATTTTCCATTTGAATGATGTCCAACTTCAATTATTTGGCTAAATTTAAATCTTGTCCCTATGCCACTATTGGAATTTGAAATTAACAATAACCTACCTTAATTATGAGTCACAATTTAAAATGGTAGACTTGCCAGTGAGTCTGAAAGACTTCTTAGGTAAAGGTAGAAGAATAAAACTCTGTGAAAAGAATCAGTGAAAAGAAGCTTGCTAACGCCTGTGCATTAAGTCAAGATGAGCTAAGACAGCATATCAAAGGAATTCTGACCTTGAATTGTATCTTTTGGGACTAATCTTTAGGAAGAGTCAATTTCTCACTGTGCCTTTTCCTTTTATCTAAACACTGGTGATTTCCTTAATATCTAAATATAAAAGATGAACAAGACAGCAAGACTCATGTTTGATTATGTCAATTCATAGTTCTCCCCTCAAATAAGTCATAAGTGACAGGGTCTTATTTCATAATATTGAGAGGTATAGAGAATAATAGCAATTTTTTTCATCTTAAAAAAAATTGGGGAATGTATGAAGAAATCTTAATCATGCAAAATGTTGACAGCACATATATGTAATCCCAGCAGAATTCCAAGTCCAAGGCTAGCCTGAGCTATGTAAGGAGATTCTGTCTCAATAAACACATCAGAACAAAATAAAATAAAATAGAAGGGACTATGGATACAGCCCAGTTAGTCAAGTTTGTGCCACACAAACATGAGGATCAGGGTTTGAGCCCTAGAATCTACCAGGTAAAAAAGTCAGGTGTGGCAGTATGCACTTATATTGCCAGCACTGGGTAGAACTGGACAGCAGACCCCTGGGGCTTGCTGGCTGGTCAGCCTAGCCTACTTGGTGAGTCATAGGCCAATGAGGACTCTGTGTCAAAGCATGCAATCAAAACAGAAAAACTAAAGGAAGTGTGCCTACAGAGGGACACCTGAAGCTGACTTCTGGCCTCCACATGAGTATGCATTAGTGTGCATGTGTGAGCACACACATGCACATACACACACACACACACACACACACACACACACACACACACATGGAAACACAATTAGTGAGTGAGGAAAAGGAGGAGGGAGGGAAAGAGAGATATTTCTGGACATAGGGAAAAATAACTATTTAAAGAATAAAGCCAGCCGGGCGGTGGTGGCGCACGCCTTTAATCCCAGCACTCAGGAGGCAGAGCCAGGCGGATCTCTGTGAGTTCGAGGCCAGCCTGGGCTACCAAGTGAGTTCCAGGAAAGGCGCAAAGCTACACAGAGAAACCCTGTCTCGAAAAACCAAAAAAAAAAAAAAAAAAAAAAAAAAAATCTCAGAAGAAACATAATTTATAGCTATTCAAGGTGGTAGTTTCTCAATCCAGAGGATCAAGTAGTTTCTTAGATCAGAGACATTTGCATCATGGTTGGTAATTTGAACTACAGGATGACAGTGAGCATTAAGTTTTTCCCTTGAAATTACTCAAATCATAGTTCAAATTCTAGAATGATCCCAGTAGTGTTTTCCTGTGGTGACTCTCCTAGGTGCACAAGCTCCAAAGTATCTTGAGGAATCATTGCAAATAATTCTGAAATGAAAGCCTCTTTTCTCTCGTCCATAAAATGGCAAAAATAAGTCTCTCCTCCACTTAAGAGGCTTAAGAGTTACAGCTTATATCTCTTCTCAGTCTTTGGCTCAGGCACGGCATCAGCAGGCACTGACTGTCTCTCTCCCTACCCCCTTGCTGAATTTCAGTTATTTTCTTCATTTCTTCTTATGTGGAAGAGATTACCTTCAAACCAACCGGAGAATTCAAGTATATATTGACATGTCCTGCTGCTGCTGTTCATTAAATAAGGCCTCTCCCCCCACCCCCGTCCCCGCCCTTTAAGGGCTCAGAATAGCTACCTTGTGCTATCACACTAGGAATTCAGTGAATGATTAGTGACTGAATGCAGAGAATTTGACTTAACAATAGGCTGAGGAGATGGCTCAGTCAGTAAGATGCTACCCTTTCAAGTACACAGGACTGAGTTAGACCCCAGAATCCTCATTTAAAAAGTACAAGTGCTTGTAATCCAGTGATGGGGAGGTGGGGACAGTTGGATACCTGGAGCTAGACTGGCCTACTTGATGAGCTCCAAGTCAGTGAGAGACCCTGTCTTTCTCTCACACACACATGAGGAGGATGGCATCTGAGGGACAATATCTGAGGTTGACCTTTGGCCTACATACACACCTGCACCAACACACACACACACACACACACACACACACACATACACACACACACACACACACACACAAAAAAAAAAAAAAAAAAGAGGGATCACGTTAATAAAGGCCAGCATTTTTTTTCGCCTGGAGAAACTGCCATATGGGCACACATGTAAATATTTTATTGGCATTCCTGTGTTTATAACAGCATCAGGTATATAAATTTGGGGAGTGAGCGTGGCATATGTGTGTGTTCCTGGTTTCATGACTTAGTTGCACAGTAAGTTCAAGTGGCTTCCCCTCAATGCTGCAGCTGTGGTGAATCCAGCCAAAGAATGACACGGATGATGAGGAACCAACCAGCCCTTTTGTAAGCGTTAAAGAGAAGCCAGTCATACCAGTGAGCAGATAGAGAATTGGCACCAGCATGTCTGAATAGTTTATTGTTTTAGAGCCTGGGTATCGTAAGCAGTTCACTTGAGTAAGTGGGGTTGACGAACAACCAAAAGGGAAGTTAGCGAAGTTAAAATGTGGGGGGAAATGCTGTACTCATATCTAATGTAAGTGATATCTAAGTAGTTATGAAAATAGCTTGTCCAGGTAGATGAACTATGCCACACTTTCCAGGATGGAAGGGAATGAGAGGAGAGTACTGGAGCCAGGGACATAAAAATGAAGACCCAACTTCCAATCAATCGCCAAGTCTTAGTCCCAGTGGCAAGACTTGGAAAATTTTTGCATGAGATAAGCTGGTAATGTAGAAGAAACCCATAGGGGTGTGTACACGGATGATTTACTAAATAACATCAGGCTGCTAAGAGCAAAGCAAGTTAGGCTTTGGTTTCTAGAACTTTCTGATTTTACACTTATAATGGGTCTTATCTTTAATTATATATTCCTGTATCAGATAAGCTACAGTATTAGATTCTTGATTTTAAAATCTGCTGCAGCTTCACATTCTTAATTTCTAATGACATAAAATCCAGTGACTCCCTTGCACAAACACTAATCATTAGTTTAGATATTTCTATTAAATGTGAAGGGAGAAAAGAGTCGGGTAGCTTAGGAAAATGATTGAGCTTACCTTTCTCTTTCTACTCATCAAAACAGGTATTTTCCTCTTTTAAGTTGTCTAAGTTCTGGAAATAAAATTTTATATTTTATGTTTACTGTTCAAGATACCTTTTAGGAAAATAGGTGGTTAAATTCTACAGTAAGAGCTGTGTGACTATTTTTTTCCTATTTCTTTATTTCTATTTTTTATTTTTTTACAGTTTTCTTCAAATTTCTTTCACTGGGCCAAATCCAATTAGCTAAAATCTGAACATTCAAACTGGACATTTTTATAGATATAGTCTGTATAATGTGTTTCATTAGATGAATTTTTTCTTACTCCAAAAATGAAAAACTGTATTGACTCTCCAAAACAACGTGGCATGTTAGACAGTCTACCATTCACTTGCAGCTGTTGGCTGGGCATGTTATGAGATACAAGTTGGGTTATTAAAGCCATTTACTCAAAAATTGTCTCCCAATAGAGGTTTGTATATGGGGCTGAGAAGTCCACATGAGTCTTTCCTAGTGGTCAAGCATAGATTTTCTGATCGAAACCACCATTTGGATTTGTAAACATAATGGCAAAATAATGTTTTCCCCCTTTCAGGGTTTTTTTTTCTTTCTTTCTTATGGAGGGACTATATGTGGTGAGCCTGTGAAAAGCCAAATCGGGACATTGTTGTGAGCCATGTCATGTATGCAGCATTGTGATTTGCAAACATGTTTCCCCTTCAATAAATGTCACAGCTTTCACAGCGGTTCCACCTTGGTCTCTTTTGTAATCTTTTACATTCTGATGAAGGCAGCAGTATGAGCATTGTTTGAACTGGTAATCTATGCATGTTCATGACACAGTAGCTAAATGGTCAGCATGGAGAATCTGAGTTCCAACTGCAAAGAACATCTCCGACACTGCATGTACGTGTAAGTCCATCATACACACTGGAGTGGACGTATGTAAAGGTTATACATGAACCAAGTGACCTTCCCTTGTGTGAGTCTGCCCAGTGACAGTGGCTTACGCAGCAGGAGTGGTGGGGTGTGTTGGTTGGTGGGAAGGGTTCTTGTAGCAGTTTCTCTACATGTGTGTCTGCTGTGGCTCCCACAGCACTGCATCCACTTGAGGATTGTTGTAATTCGTCTGTAGAAAAGCTATGTCTTAGAGATTATCAGACCGAGCCCTGAACTCAAACCTGAATATAATTGATTTGGAATTTGAGGACCCTAGAAAAGTTGAAGAATCATTTTATTTGCTTATCATAGTCCTAAAATATTAGTTTGAAGTTTGGTGATGATGCTTTGTACACTATGATAATTTCTAGTGATTGTTTTTGTTCACATTGAATATGAGATGAATGTAAATTTAAAGTGAAGATGTAGTTGTTTTTTTTTCCACATGACCCCTACTCTTGTTTTTTATTTTTTTTTCCAGTATATATTCTTAAAGAGTGCTACGACATCTTAAAAGGAAAAAAAAAAAGACTTCTCTTTCTAGAGTGCACTGATTTTGAACTTAGTCGGTTCATGATTTAGCCTTGGCACTCATCCATGTAGTCCCAGGGGCCTCCAAGGACCAGGACCAGGCTATGAAACCCAATATTTCACCTCCATATCTTCCTTGACCTCAAAGCATTTTTAGTAAAGTTCATGGTCTTGAGAGATAGCATTGAAACACTTTTTTTTTTAATTTAAGCTAGGGAGGTAATATGCAGGCAGCAGAGCTCACCGATATGCATTTTTAGAGAATAGATGGTTTATGTCATTAGCAAAAATCAGCTCACATCAGGCAGCTTCTAAAATGTCTTTCATCTGAATGTGGATAATGAGTGGCCCTAGTTCCATTCCAGGCCATCTGGTGCCCCGCTGAGAATTTTTGTTAATTTAAAAGAGAATTCTTAAACAATTTTAAATGAAGAAGTTACTCCTTGCTCCCTCCTGGACTCATCCCTTGAGGACAGAGTAGATTCCTGTAATTATGGACGCTTTTTTTTTTTTTTTTGGCTAGCATCTTCTACTTCAAAATACATTCTTGCACCACAAACAGGATGGCTGTGTGGTCTCATCAGCATCTTGGTTGAGTAATGAGTACTGGTTATGAGCTCTGTGTATTCAGGATGCATGCCTTCACATCCCTATCAGCTCAATCAATTTGACTTCAACTCCTTTCTGGAAGTTCTTCAATCTACCCAGCAGCATCCACAAAAATAGCCACTTGGGATGAAGAATAAACATTTAATTTCGTCCTAAATCTTTGTGAATCAGAAACCCGAATCCAGCCTTGGCTTTCTTGGTGAGTAGAGCTGTCTAAGTCGCTTCCTCTTACGCCTTCCATCTCCCATCTGTGAAAGCATTCAGGGACCAGAACTGCCAAACACACTCTGGGGAAGGTTGGAGAAACAGATGGTCTGTGAGTAACAGCATGTCTACCGGACAAAACCTCCAAGTGACGTTGCCTGAGGTCTTTGATGACCTCCACCAGGCCAGGAGCATCTTTGTTTTGCTCCTCCTAAGCTTGCTCCCATTTGGTACTTCCTCAGTTCCTGGCATATTGTTCAGCACCCGGTAGGCGCTTGGTAATGTTGTTGAGTGAATGAATGAAGGATTGAATGAATGCTTATGCTGAAGGAAACTAAACTCCAAGATCTGGAAGTTGGTTCTATGAGGGCACTTCCTGTTTTCAAGGAATGTGCAGAACACTGTGGCTTCTGTGTTCCTAGGACAGCATGCCCTTGACCTCCAGACACCGACAACCACATTTCCCATTGTTAGGCATCTACCTTTCATGGTTTCGTTGTTATGCAGATCTTCTAGATTTCCTGTTTTCTTTTGTATAAAATCAAATAAAATTTTATGTACTCTATGTATTAATTGATTGATGAAGTCACATCAAGTAATAAAATGACACTATTGGAATCAAGATTTTTCTTTTCATTGTATTTTTCTATTTTGAATTGTCAAAGGAATGTCTTCTATTCCTGCAACTAAAACTATGAGTATCCATCTATTCCTGCAAGGAAAGCTGGTCACACTATGGTCAATGAACTTGCCTGTTACATGTTAGTATATGGTTTCTGCCAGACAAAAATATAAAAATATTTTGAAGGATAAACTTCCTCTTAGCACTTTGGACACACTCTGCATTGGCATAATTAATGGGAAATTTGTGCTCCATGACTTTGTCTCTTTAAGAAATTATTTTTTCTCTAAGGTTACTTCTGCCTCCTACAAGTAGAAAGGTCAGTATTTAGGAATAGTGCAGGGTTGTTCTGACCTGGGTTCGAGGCCCTCAGAGCTGTTGAGGATTAGGATTGCTTCACCTCAAAGGGATCATGGTTCCCTGCAGTGATTATATGGCTTCTTTCTTTCCTTCCTCTGATAGGCACAGATTACATGCAAAAAAAAAAAAGAGAGAGAGAGAGAAAGAAAGAAAGAAAGAAAGAAAGAAAGAAAGAAAGAAAGAAAGAAAGAAAGAAAGAAAGAAAGAAAAAAAAAGGGAGGGACAGGAAGCTGTTAGACTCACAAACTTGGACACAAATCCCAGCTGCCCACATTTGGCTGCAGGACCTTATACAAGCTACTAAGTCTGTTCTGTCACTTGAAAGTCAGGCCATGCCTTTACAATACCATACAAGCCAACTGGTAGAAGATCTTATGTTGAGGGAAGATATATCCTTACTATCTAACAGGTAGACATTGTTTGCTGATAGAAGGCGCTGAGGCAGGTATCCTAAAAGGGAAGTTTGTAACCTATGAACTAAAAACTGTTTCAAAATATATTACAGAAAATGCTTATATTCATGAATCCATTGCAGAACAATGTTAAAAGGACATTTAATGCATACCAAGCAATTAAACCATTGACATAATCTCCATATTAACTATGTGAAATATGAAATTCATATTTCATCTATGAATTATTACCATTCCATTGTTAAAGAAACTGAGATAAAGTTGAGGTTTTGGTAACTTAATCCAAAGTCTCATAGCCAAAAACCAAGGATCTGGAATTTGAGTACCAATAGTGTTACTTTAAACCTACTTTCTTAACCTTTATGTGTGCCTGGAAGTCAAAATTAACTGCCAGAATCAAATATACAGAAATCTATCAAGAAGCCCAGGAGAGCAGATTGGCAAGAGTTATCAGAAAAGAGGGGGTGCTGCAGGTGTGAGATCAGCTGAAGATGGTGTCTAGTGCAGTTGTGCTATAAAAGGACACTCAAGCCTCAGTTATTTTTTACACTCTGGAAGTTCGGAAAGCCAAGAATAAAGTGTTGGCAGGTTTAATTGCTGGTGAGAGATGCACCCTCTGTAAGGATGCTGAGAAATGCCATGACCTCACATGGCTAAAGGCAGAATGGAAAGAGCAAATGAGATGTGAAACCTCCTTTGGGATGGTCTTAATCTCATTCAAGATGGCTGAGCCCCCTAGACACAGTTTCTTCTAAAAGTTCTCACCTCTTGATACAATTATCTTGGCATACAAGTTTTGGAGGGAGTATGTTCAAATCACATGAGTTCTCCTAAACCAGTTTATAAGAAATATATTCATTCCATCCCAGTAGCTCTCATAGTCTTAACCCATCCTAGTATCAACTTAAAAGTCTTAAGTCTGGATTCCCTTCCATCATTTTAGTCAGATATAAGAGTCAAAGATGGGCTTCATCCCAAGACCAGTTGCTCCCAAATTATAAACTTGATGTAAAACGTGTGTTTCCAAAATTCAATAGTAAGACAGGAATACGAAAGTGTCTTAGTCACTGTTCTCTTGCTGTGAAGAGACACCATGACCAAAGCAACTTCTAAAAGAAAATATTAATGTTTACATTAATTATTAATTGCTTATAGCTTCAGAACATTTGTCCATGAACATCATGACAGGGAACATGGAGGCAGGCAGGTAGGCACACAGGCGTGACATTGGACCAGTAGCTGAGAACCTATGTCTTATTTACAAGATATAGGCAGAGAAAGAGTGAGACCGGGCCTGGCATGGGCCTTTGAAAGCTCAAAGTCCACCATCAGTGACAAGGCATACCTCTAAAAACTCTGAAGAGTCCACCAATTGGGAACCAAACTTTCAAATATGTGAGGCTATGGGGGTCATTCTGATTCAAACTACTACAGAATGATATCCCCATTCTAAAAGGAAACAATATCAAAGGAGAAAAGAGTTACAGGTTCTCAATGAAGTCCAAACACAATAAGGCAAACATTAAATCTTAAGGCAATAGAATCATCGTTTTAGATGATATGTTCTACTGTCTGGACATACTAGTTCAAGGACTGGATGCTCAAGGATCCAGACAACCAACTTTCATGGACTTGTATTTTAGCCTTTCTGAATAGGAGATCCTTGGTTTTCCTCCTAGACTGGTTATGTACAAACACTAACAAAAATAATACTAAGTAAATACATGATGATTCTGTAAACATTTTTGTAGACAGACATGTGTCCAGTACTTTTGGGTTATGTTCAACTGTGACCCCATCAGCCTCAAAAGTTGTCTGACCTTCAGGTATGCCATTACAGAACACTTATGAGAGTCTGGCCTCTGAATTTAACCCAGACCCTTTTGAGTTTAGGTGCTGGAACTTTCTTGATCTTTCTCAGGGTTGTTGGTAGAAGATTCTTGAACAGCAACCCATTTTTCCTTCAAATGGCCACTAAATGACTTGTTGGGTAAAGTGTTATGGGCTTGTGGCTCTGCAGTTGAATCACCAGGAATGGCAGCCACTTTCTGACATGTGCATACGGTGAGCCGAT